AAGTCACCCACCTGTCTTTCATGGTTAAGGCTGAACTAGAACTCTCAGTCTCCTGGTGATTGGCCCAAAGTCACCCACCTGTCTTTCATGGTTAAGGCTGAACTAGAACTCTCATTCTCCTGGTGATTGGCCCAAAGTTATCCAGCTGGCTTTCATGACTAAGGGGGGACTAGAACTCACAGTCTCCTGGTAATTGGCCCAAAATCATCCAGCTGGCTTTCTTGGCTAAGGCGGGACTAGAACTCCCAGTCTCCTGGTGATTGGCCCAAAGTCATCCAGCTGGCTTTCTTGGCTAAGGCAGGACTAGAACTCATCTCCTGCTTTTTATCCTGGTACCTTAACCAATGGACCAAACTGGCTTTCTATATGAAAAGACCTGCTCAATATAGTCCAAGAAGTTTGCAAGTTTGAATCATTATTTTTCAATTACGTTGGGTTAATATCTTAATGCTTTCTTTCTTTTTTAAAGGAAATATCTTAAAATACGTTGCTTTTCTATGCCCACCCAGGTCCAACAAATCATATTTACAGCAAGGCAAAGACAATTCCAAAAACATAAACCAAAGAAAGAAAACGCAGCGATGGGGAAAAGAGCCACCAGAAAAGGCTTGCTGGAGATGACCAACATGCCCGAAATTCAAATACTAACCCCGCTAAAATGAAGAACCATCCCAGAAGCCACCGCACCACAGACGGTGCTTAGTTTGCCCCCGTTGACGGTTAGCCAGTTCTGGCTGGATGGGGCACGGTTGAAATTGTCTTTCAGTTGGGTGGGGAGGGAGACATCTGGCTCGTCGCAGTATAAGCCGCTCCAGTTTTCATCGCACCTGTAAAGAACAGGAGACAAGAGAACCCAATTAAAATCAAGCACCCCATCTTTAAGCGTTTCATCAAGATGAATGGGTTTCACTCAGCATGGTTAAGCCTGAAGCCACTGTTGAAAATGACTGAATGGTGCAAAAGAAAATGCTTTTTTTTCCTTTTGCAATATTGATTTAATATGGGGGGGTGGATATGTTTAAACCTCAACTAAATTCAAATGATTTGGGTAGAAAGAGGGAGAAACCCTAAAACAGTTTAATGTCGACCGTCCCATTTGCATGCCCAGCAAAAGAAACTCCTGGGATATTTTTATTACCAAGAGTAAAATTTTACTGACAGATCCATACAGGCACAGAAGGAAGTGAAGCCAATTTTGAGGTTTGGGTGCAAAGCACAGCATAGTGAACCCTCCTGTTCCTTTCTCAGCCCAGTGTCCACTGTTCACCAATCCAAGCTAGGCATTTTATTTTGGGAAACAGTCTGCACCTTTAGAGAGTTTTCAGCTTCTGACCTTGGGGCTGCGAGATCTTTTCAGGCTGCCAACGGCTCACATAGATTCCTTTTCTCCCTCCCAGCTTCCCACATGTTCCAAGCCTACCCGTCCCCATTCCCTTAGCTTCTTTGTCAAGTTGTGAACAGAAAGAGGTGCTTTGTGAGTCAATCTTGGCTTCATATTTGTATATGAATGATTGGGGGAACTAGGTATGCCCAGACTATCAAAGAGAAGGGTCGGAGGACGGACGGACATGATAGCCTTCTTCTGATACTTGAGGTCTTTCCTGGAGAGAATGGACTTCTTCTCCAAAGCATGGACAAGCAGCAAAGGGTAGAAGCTCATTAAGGAGAGACCCAAATTAGAAGTAAGGAGAAATTTTCTGACAGTGAGAGCAATTAATCAATGGAATAGTTTGCCTCTTGGAATTCTGGGTGCTCCATCACTGGAGGTTTATAAAAAGAGACTGAACAACCATTTGACTGGGAAGAAGGCCTCCAAAGTCCTCTTCCAGCCCTATGGTTCTATATTCATGGAAACATATTTTTATTTTATTTATTTATTTATTTGATTTGCCAATTGTTTACAAGATAATAAGTATAAGTGTATACATAGTTGTGAATACATGAAATGGGTACATATAAGAAAAATAAAAGAATAAGAGAAACAATAGGACAGGGACGGTAGGCACGTTGGTGCGCTTATGCACGCCCCCTACAGACCTCTTAGGAAAGGGGTGAGGTCAATAGTAGACAGTCTAAGGTTAAAGTTTTTGTGGAGTTGGGGAAGAAACTACAGAGTCGGGTAGAGTATTCCAGACATTGACCACTCTGTTGCTGAAGTCGTATTTCCTGAAATCAAGTTTGGTGCGGTTAACTTTGAGTTTGTATCTATTGTGTGCTCTTGTGTTGTTATGGTTGAAGCTGAAGTATTCATTGACAGGTAGGACATTGCAATGTATGATTTTATATACCATGCTTAAATCAGACCGAAGACGGCGTAATTCAAGGTTTTCTAGTTCTAGAATTTCAAGTCTGGTGGCATAAGGTATTCTACAACGAGTAGAAGAGTGGAGAACTCTTCTTGTGAAATATTTCTGGACTTTCTCAATTGTGCTAATATCAGATACGTAATGAGGGTTCCAGACTGATGAACTGTATTCGAGTATTGGTCTAGCAAATGTTTTGTATGCTCTGGTTAGTAGTGTGATATTACCAGAGAAAAAGCTACGTAGGATTAGGTTAACAACTCTTAATGCCTTTTTGGCTATGTAGGGCTCTAGCACTTAGATCATTAGAGGTGAGTATTCCAAGGTCCTTTACAGAGCTTGGGTCATCAACAAGATCTTGACTATTCAGCTTGTATTTTATTTTCTGATTTTTTTTGGCAATATGTAAGACAGAGCATTTATTTGTTGAGATTTGAAGTTGCCATTTGTTAGACCATTCTGATACATAGTCAAGATCTTTTTGTAGGGTAGCAGTATTGTCTGTGGTATTGAACAGCTTTACATCATCAGCGAAAAGAACGCAATTGCTCTTAATATGATCACAGAGGTCATTTATGTAGAGTATGAAGAGAGTTGGTCCTAGAACACTGCCTTGGGGACACCACTATTGACAGGTACAGAATTTGATAGGACGCTCCCAATTTTGACCATTTGTTGTCTGTTTGCCAGGAATGCTTCTATCCAGTTATGCAGTTGTCCAGAGATACCATAGGATTTTATTTTTAGGAGTAGTTTGTCGTGTACCACTGAATCAAAGGCTTTACAGAAGTCTATGTAGATTGCGTCTTACCTAGCGGTCCATCAAGTCCACCTTTTGAGTTTTTCTTTTTAATTTATGCATTTCTTTCTTTCTTTTTTTGGTCAGATGATGGACATGTGTTTATCCAAAGCATGTTTAAACTCAGTTACTAACGATTGACCCACTAACTGTGTTGGAAGTTGGTTGCAAACTTCCGCTACTGTTCTGTGAAATTGTACTTTTGAAGTAATTTGTTGGCAGTACTACCTTGGGGCTGCCAAGCTCCAGTCATGATGAGCTGGTAGAAGATGTGGTGTGGAAATTAAGAAAATTAGGGAAAGACAATGGGCACCTGAAATTAGCAGTCGATTGCAGGTGGTTAAGGAAGAACAAAGCAATGTTGGCAGGATTTCGACACCCAAAAATTGGCAAATAAAGTTAACATCACTTCCAACAGCAGATGAGCTGTTGGAAGTGACAATTATACAAGAAGCTAAATTAAAGGCCTTCAGAAAAAGCGTGAATATGGTGCAGCAGATTTTAAAAATTGCAGTTAGAAGCCAGATTTGAGAATTCACAAAGTAAAAGCATCAGCTGTAGAGCAGAATACAATAAATACTCTTAACGGAGCTGTTTTCTGAAATATTTTTGGAACTGTGATTTACAACAAGACTCTGGGGAGAGCTCACTGAGTCATAATAATAAGAAACCACAAAATGGCAAGTTCCCAAGATATATATGTATATTTGCCAGATTTGTAAATTATACCACTAAATATAAAATATTAAACTTGGCACGCCAAGATCCTCTCTAGTGACATCAATCTAACAGGTTTTAGCTGGCTTGCACAGTGTCCTGGATAAAAGATGTTATTTAAAATGTGTTGGGGTTTCTACATAATAAAATATTTTCACTGGTACTTTGGATAGTTCTTTTCCCTGTTTCTGGCTCGATTTTTAATATCTGACTTACTTTTATTGTTTTGCCCGTCATTATTTTATAGATAAAATGATCTTTTTCTAATATTTTAAGTGAAAAACTATGAGTAAAGGAAAAGGTTCAACTGTTTCCCTAAAACAGATGAGAGTGGAGGGATTCTGGGTCCATCACAATTTAGGTGGTATGACAAAATATTAAAATGGAATCAAAAGTTGTTTTGTCTTCTTGACAATCTGTTTTATATGTAACTCTATGAGGAAATAGAGGAAAGTCTATGTAATTCTAGGAGAACATACAAAGCAAGTTACATTCTTTAATTGTATTCTTTGCTAATAATAATAGTTGCCATTATTATTACTATTATTCCACTATAAACACTGTAGGTCAACGAATTTGTTCGGACGCCAAGTTTTACAAGCAGTTGGCAAAAGAAAACAAGTGAATCAAATAAAGAAGTAGGTGAAAAATCACAAAAATGGATTAATGTGCTTCTATCAAATTTTGCGTTTTTGTTTTATCTGGTATTTTTAAGAGAACATGCATGTCCCCTAATGTTAACTGAACGGGATATTTAAGCCTTCCCAAGTAATCCCAGAGGTGTTTTTTCAAGAGGTAACTGGACTTTCTGGTTTTTCTTTGAAGATGATGTTTCGCTTCTCATCCAAGAAGCTTCTTCAGTTTCTCATCCGAGAAGCTTCTGAGAAGCGAAACAACTTTAAAGAAAAACAAGAAAGTCCAGTTGTCTCTTGAAAAAGCATCTTTGGGACCACTATGCCCTGAATGATGGAGAATCTCCATGGACAGTAGCTTCAGTTACACCACAACTGTAATAGCATCTAAATGAACCTGGAGGAAGGATGTGTTTTAAAAAATCTAAATAATAGAAATGAATTTGGTATATTAGACCTCTTCAATCCAGTTCCACCAAAACCAGGGAAAATACATTTTTTTTAAAAATCACATATAAACGGTGCACTAATCCATTACTTGTATAAACTGTACACTTGTAAAATCCCCTTTAATCGTTGCGTTATAAAAGTGGCTCTATTATCTATCTTTACAGATGTTGGCGAAATAATAATGCACCAGGAATTAGTAACCATGTTTTTTTCCCCCTAACAGTGAGATGAGTAGTGATACTGATCTAGATGCTGTCATCAGAGCTACCATTGCCTCGATGATAATTGATATTAATGATAGCTTTGGATTATCGCTCTAGTTGAAAAATTGGCCAAGAGCTGAAGATGGCAAAATAATGCAACCCATTATTTTCATGAGTTGTCTTATTGATTTTGTGACTGCTCAGAATTTGTTCCACTTCATTAACCAACATTCAGGGTTGGGGGAGATTTGGTTTTGAGAGGAGACAGAGAGAGATTTATTCGAACAGGGGAGCTGCTTAGTTTGAATTCCGAGAAGAAGCCAACTGAAGTGGTTATAGCCAGGGTGTCAACTTATAAACTATTTCTATGGTCTTTTTAGAGTTGCCAACAGAAAGGGAGGGGGGGAAAGGGTTTGAAAGGGCAGTGCGGCAGCTTGGAAAGCAAAAGTGCATTCCATACATAGTTTTTCAAAGATAGTAATTAGGTGACTGAAGTTTCTGCCATGCAAAATTCTAACTGGAGAGCATGATTGATGACTCTTGGCTATGGAGGTGTCCCATTGGAGAATATGAATTATGATACATCCAGAGGGTGGGAGAAATCCAGGGTCAAGGGTGACAATGAATTATGTGTCTCAGAGTCTGCTACACCCAGGCACTGCCGGACATGTTAACTCCCAATAAATCCTTTTTAAGTTTTGAAAATTTGGCCCAAGACTCATGATTGAAATGGGGGTAACTGCCGGAATCCTGATACAGGGGTGTGGTTCAACCGGTGCAACAACTGGTTCGCGCTTCACACACATGCAGAGCATTTGCTACTGACCTTCTCCAGTAAACCCTGGGTGTTAAAACAGCTGACGCACGGCAATCCACTGTGCCACGTCAATCAGCTGAGTTTGAAAAACAGGATATAAAGCACAGCCTAGAGCCCGGGTGGACAACTGGGGACAACAGCTGATCGTCAGATCAAACGGAACCATTTTGCTGCCAGCCGATCATTGGAGCTACCGGTTCTCTCAAACCAAGCTGAACCGGTAGAATCCCACCCCTGGTTATATCCTAAATGAAAATCATGCACAGGTAATCCTTGACTGACGACCACAATGGAGCCCCAAATTTATGTTTTTAAGACAGTTTTTAAGTGAATTTTGCCTCATTTTACTACACTTCTTGCCACAGTGGTTAAGTGAATTGTTGCAGCTGTTCAGTAACACTGTTGTTAAGTGGCTTCTCCATTGACTTTGCTTGTCACAAGGCCACAAAAGGGGATCATGTGACCCCGGGAGACTGAGACTGAAGCAGTTGCCAAGCGGCTGAATTTTGATCATGTGACCACGGGGATGCTGCAACGGTTGCTAAGTGTGAAAAACGGACATAGGTAATTTTTCAGTGCCATTGTAATGGTTGCCAAATGTATGATTGTAAGTCAAGAACTACCTGTGTTGTCCATTTCTTTGTGATATTTAAGGGGGCGGTCTGGTCCACATTACAGGTAGTCCTCAGTTCATTTAGTGATCGTTTGAAGTTACAACGGCACTGAAAAAAAAGTCACTTGTGAGAAATGGTCATTAGTCACTTTTTTCAGCGATGTTGCAACTTTGAACAGTCACTAAATGAACTGTTGTAAGTCAAGGAGATACCCGTAGTTACTCTGTCTCTCTCAGTGGGGTTAATACTTACACACAGTTTCCTTCCGTGCATCTTCCATGCCCGCTGCACATATCTATACAGCCATCGCCTATGTAGACATTGTCAATAGCCCAGGTTTGCTGCTTGTCGAAAGGAGCTGTTTGGTGCCAACGGAAACGGGTCGCATCAGACCTTTAGGAAAGACGACACGTGAAAATAAAATGCTTGTGGAGGTAAGACACAAGAATTAGCAAGTTCCCCCCTGTGGTATCGATCAAATGGAGACTGTAGCTTTATTGAACAAGTAAACAAAATTTTTAAATAATCAAAGAGAGAAGCAACCTGGAATTAAGGAGAAACTTCCTAACAATGAGGACAATCAAGCAGTGGAACACCTTGCCTGCAAAAATCGTGGCCGCTCCATCACTAGAGGTTTTTAAGAAGAAACTAGATAATCACTTATCTGAAATGGTATAATGGGTTGGACCTCCAAGGTCCCTTCCAGATTCCACTCCACTCCACTCCCTATTTCAATTCCAATTCCAGTTCCAATTCCTATTCCAATTCTATCCCATTCCATTCCACTCCACTCCACTCCATTAATTCCTATTCCTATTCCATTCCTATTCCATTCCATTAATTCCTATTCTATTCCTATTC